TTTTTCAGCACACACTTTAGTTTTGATTGACAAATGTCGAAAAAGGTAAAAAGGAATTCGAAATCTTTTTTATGACAAAAATAAATATTATAGCATCTAAAAAAAATATATCCGGAATTAGTGAAAGAAAAATATAAACAAGCAAGAATAAACGTGGCATTCATTATGATTAATGAATGAAATGCTAAATTTCTTTCTTTTTTTTTCTTTCTTCAAAGCTCCGTTTTCAGGACGTATCTAGTGGCAGAAGAGAGCTTGGACTCTGCCTGTGTACTCATATGTTTGCCGTATCGACACCAGTTGGCAAAATGTTCACAATTATTGGAGAGCAAGTCGTATTCCTCTTCCCCAAGTCGCGATTCTGCTCTTCTAATGATCTCACACGTACCAAAAGTTTCCGTGTCGGCATCGTGCCTGTTATCAAGAACAACAGGACTGCCGGCGGCCACTTTGCTCAGTTTTTCCAATCTGATGACAGCATCACTATGAGTTTTGGTATCAGCTTCTCCACTGTAATGGTAAACTTTGCCCAGTCCTGCATAAATGGCATAATGATCGTAACTACCCCGATTAAAACGGAGGATACCTCCAATCGGATAGGGTTCGAACAGTTGGGTAAAAAGAAGAAAAATACATGTTAGAAAGTTCATTTTTTTAGCTTAAACATAAAATGAGTTAATTATTTTCTTCAATAAAATTTTTTTTATTATCTTCCGAACTTTTTTTGTGGTGGGTTTTTTAATATTTTTTTTTAAATTTTGATTTGAGTTCAGAAGTAATCTTTAGTTTTTTTATATCATTATTATTATCAGTATTTACCAATTTGACATTGCAGTTTTTTTTATATACTTAAAAAGATTGGAGCTTTTTTTTCTTTAGTTAGTATCCGAAGTTTTTACATTTTTTTTTACAATGTCCGTATTTTCACTTTCTTCTTGGTCGAGAGGCTTTCATTTTTCCTTTTAAGCGCCGTTATGTAATTTTGGAAGTTTCATGATGTGTGATTCAGTGTGATAACCTGAGAATTAAGATTATTGCCCAATTAAGGATCCTTTCTTTGTACGATTTCCAAAAACGATCATATTTCTAAGATTCTTCGTGTAGTCGCAAGTTTAAATTACGACAGAGATCATTTCTTGACGGATTTCCTGATGAATGAATGACAAAATGTAAAAATCTGATATATCAACTGTTTTGTCTTTGTTCCTTTTTTTCCAGATAATGTTTTTGTTTTTTGTTGTTTTGTTGTTTTTTTTTTTTGTTTTTTTTTACTATAATCAGTTCATTAAAATTAAAAGCATCCCTATAAGAAAACGAAAAAAAGTAATGAATTGAATGACAATCAATCAATCACTCAATGGTTATGAAATATTTTTAGCGCTTTTGTTTTCATAGAACATTGTAGAAAAAAAAAGACACGGAAAAATATAAATGATGTTGTCATTGCATCTTTTTAATCGATCCAAAGACGAAATTAAAGTAAAAAAATGAAAAGAAAATACAATTTTTCTGTACACCACTGAGCTTTAAAGTGACCACCCACCTTAAACAATAATCATCCGTTGTTTCAGAAAAATATCCCGAAAATAATCTATTTCCGAAAAACTTTACATCCTCGCTCCGTTGTTGTTATTCTTATTAAATTTAGGTTTTTGCTTACCTACGTAGACACAAAATTCAATAAAAAACGCTTATTTTCCTTTGTAACAACGCCTTATTCGCATATAATTTCCCCCCTCTCTACTTTATCTTAATCTCTCACTTCCTCCCTCTCTATAAGTCTTCTCTCTATATGTTGTCTACTACTACTACTACCACCACCACCACCTTGTGTTATCCTTTCCTTTGCAGTTGCACTTTTGCTGAACATGTGACTCATTGCGACCGAACATGTGGTTTTCACTGACTGCTTTCTTCTTTTTTTAGTATTTTTCTTTTCAATAGATGCTTTATTTTAGTGCGTTAAAACCTACTTTTACTAAATAAATCTTTTTTTCGATACTTACACACATTTTAATAAAATCTTTAGGATTAAAAAAAAGGATCCTTTCTTCTGCAGTTTTTTTTTTTTTTATTCAACGATATAGTCATTCATTCATTCAAAAAATATTAATTCAAGATTTTGTATTGAAGTATCTCACGACTCACCCAACCTAATTCCAGAGGAGATCAATTTGATTCTGGGGAAAAAAAATTAATGTTTTTCGTCAGCCTTTATTTGTTGCATTTCCGGTCGGCTAAAAATCCTTGGATTGAACGTACGTCCTCCAGTAAGAAAATTAGTAAGAAAATGTCAAATAATTAATATGGGATAATCAACTCCCTATGGTACAAGAACAAGAAGGATCACATTTATGGTACAGTGGATCACCCAATAATCCCAAATAGTCTGGATCTCATCGAGTGCTGTTGCACACCTGACCTTATGATTCTTCTTAGTGCAATGGATGAGTTCTGCTTCAGCCTGGATATCGGTTCTGTAGTCCTCAATCGATAAATCAAAATTTAAAATGTATTTTTTAAGCAACATTTCTGGAAGATAGCAGGAAGCTAAATTGCAAGTTACACATCTCGTCGTCTCTAGTATCAGTATCTCCTTATGCAAATCAATGTTTTCTTTTTTCACAATACTAATTTTAAACTAATCAACTAACATTTAAATTTTCAGAATTTGTGGTGAACATTAGTTTTTTTTTACCTGAAAAGCAGTTAAAGTAAACAGACAAAATTTCCACATAAAATGACGAACAAGTAAAATTTAAAAACATATTATTTTTTGTTGTTTAAAAATTAAAACAATTTATTTTTATAAAAAGTACAATTTTTGGAAACTGTGTGTGCGTGTTTTGTTGTTTGTAAGTGCTTGGCGACTGTGACAATTACTTACACACTGAGTTGCAGCTATGTTCAGGCAGGGAATAGATAAGAGAAAAGATTTTGAAAACGCGCTGCTTATTTTACTCGTACCACGTGACCAAAGACACGTGACTACAGGTCTAAGGGAGGTAACTCCACTCCCGCCATATTTGTTTCTCTATGTACTTATTTTTTTATTGTTATTTTGGTTCCTATACAACATTTTTTTATCATTTCATCCCAATCAAGGCGATAATGCCACTAAGATGCAAGGGGATACTGAGAGTGAAAGAGAATGAGAAAACTTTAGAAGGAACCAGAAATTCAATCTTAAACGGGAAACAAGGGATTAAACCTCTACTCCTGTACAGGGAAGTTGTGTGAACCAGCAATACACAAGCAATGTATTGTGTGAGTTTCAACTAATTAATATTTATTATTATTAAAAAAAAAATTCTTTGCGAGATTTCACACTTTATTATGCAAATAAAGTGTGACAAACTCTCATCTCTAAATAAAAATTCATAATATACAGACCATAGAAACATACCTTATGGAGATTACCACCACATGGTCTGGCACAGGTTTGCTTTTCACGAGAAGTAGATTAGCCTGTTCTCATTTTAGATGGGAGAATGCACCCAGTACTGGGGATTCCAACCCTGTAATATCACCTTCCTCATTACACTAGGAGAGGTAAGATCAATGTACTGTTGACAGTGGGACTGGGCAATTTTTGTACTTGACCTATATGCATACATATGTGTATGATGTTCCCCAAGTAAAAATGACCTTGTGTCACATCCTGCCTTAGTGGGGAAGATGGGTAAATATATAACTCAAAAAAAAAAGAGCAAAAAAACATTAATTATTGCAGTAAAACAGGCATTAAAATAAAGAAAAAAAAAAAAAATATATATATATATATATATATATATATATATATATATATATATTTAAAGCTAGATGCAATTAGGCAGGCGATCTAGTCTAAAACAGACTGTCAATCTAAGGTTGACTTATGTTCACTTTTATATTTACACACACTCTCTATCTCTGATATTGAGCACTTTATCCCATAATATAGCACATCTTAAGACTATATTTCTTATATATATATATATATATATATATATTGCATCTACCATGAAACAGACTGTCACCTCTAAGTGTTGACTTCTATGTTCACTTTTATTTATATATATATATATATAATGGGGTATTTTTTGCTCTTTATTTTAATGTCTGTTTTTACTGCAATAATTAAATTTTATAATCAAGATAAATATTTGAAAACAAACTAATGTTCCAGTTACAGAAAGGAAAAATAATGCATAGATTACATTAATTAATTTCTAACAAGTAATACAAGGCTCTAAAGATAAAAAAAATTTCTCAGTTGACAGAAATAATAGCTGTTATAATTTCATCTTGCCAGGTTTTTAATTATCTATCAGCCTCGAGAAATCTCCTTAAAGAAAATGTTTTGGTTAATTCCCTTTAATAACTCCACTCTTTTATACACCAGGCCTTGCATTGTTGGTTGCAGTAATCCAAAAAGTGACTTGACCCAAAGAGTTGTGAGTTCAATACCTGGCCACAGCATGTGGAACAAAAACTTAGAAAGTTGTGTTGCTAAAGGGAATTCAGTGAAACTGAAATATCTCAAAAACATTCTTACAATCTCAAAATATTTTCTGGCTTTAAATAACCTGCAAAAGGTTAAGCTGTAAAGAACAAATCAATCAATTATACAAAATACAAATAAAAAATGTTTTTCTTTGATGAAAATCAAAGTCTTAAAGTATTTCCACTTCCTGTTAATTACACAAAAATGGAGCGCCATGATTGCCCACACTCTGAAGGATTTATGATTGGTTCATTTTCTACAGGTTATCAACCCATTACAGGTTTTTAAAGCCAGAAAATATTTTTAGATTGTAAGAATTTTTTTATTTTGAGATATGGTTTAGTGATACAAGTCTTACTAATTAATCCATAGCTGGGGCTAGAAGAGGTGGATTCATATCTTTCCCAAGGGCATTTGTGTGTAAGTGAAAATAACAAACCCAACTGGAATTGGAACTCAGCTCTCCAATTAACAATTCCAAACCCTGATTCATTTCACCACTTACACATCCAAGCTTACAGCACCTGGTATTCCTAAGTGGTCACTGATCTAGGTACTGGCCAGACTTGACATTGCTTAACTTCAGTGATCGTACAGGAACCAATGTTTCAACATGATGCAGCCATAATTTACATAGCTCATAGATAGACAGAAAATATTTTCCTCGTTGAAAATCAGTCTTAAAGAAATAGTATTTCTACTTTCTGTTAATTAAATATAAGAAGTTATGGAGAGCTATAATTGCCCAAATCCTGAAGGAACATGGTATATAAAAGAAGAATTATATAAATCTTCTGGAATAATATTAATATTTCTTGTTTATTTGTTATTGTTTTCAAAGAAAGGCAAAATCACTTTTATTCTCCCATATCAACTGAACTTTCTTGTAGTCCTCTTTCATGGAATACAGCAAATTAGACTTTATCATTTAAATAAATAACTTCTTTTCCACAGTTGGAAAAGCTTTGTAAACTGTCACCTGATTTTTTTCACAAAAGTCAGCAAGTAAGGAAATATGTTAATAGAAAATCTCCTTCGACTTTCATGAAATTTTCAATTTCAGATATGCAAATGTTTTATCATAACTTGGAAAGAATGTATTAAGAAACGAAGATTAATTTGGAATGTGCAATTCATAAAAATCACTATGTTCTTGGGAATTTGCTAATGAGAAATTAGAATGATTTAATGTAAATTGACATTCTTTTGTTTTGTATGTTTTTTTTCTCAAACATTTTACTGATCTACACATGCCTTGTTTTCTCTCTCTCAATCTCATTCATATATGCAAACCTGTCTTTCCTCACTACTATTCACGGTATTAACTGCTCTGATTTTCTTCATTCTCTCGTGTGGTATTTGCTGCCATCTTTTCTCACAGTATTTGTTGCCCTGACTTTTCTTCTCTCTCTCTCACACAATATTTTATGGCCTGTCTTTTCCTCACACTCTCATTTATTTTTTTATTCCATTTCTTGTACTCTAGCTTTTAGCATTTCCTATTCTGTCTTTTTGTCACTTTATCTTCTGTTTGCTTCCCAGTCTTATTTATACTCTCTCTTGCAGTATCTGCCACTCTGTCTCTGCTTTGGTCTCTCTCACAATATCTGCTACCCCATTTTTTACTCACTCTCTATCCCTCTCACAGTATTTGCTTACCAGCGTTTTCTTCACTGTCTCTTGCTGTATTTGCTGCACAGTGTTTTCTTCACCTTCTCTTGAAGTGTTTGCTGCCTTGTCTTTTACTCTCTATCTCTCATACTATTTGCTGCTTTCTTTTCTTCACCCTCTCTTGCTGTATTTGCATCCCAGTCTTTTCCTTACCCTCTATTGAGGTATTTGCATCCCAGTCTTTTCTTTGCCTTCTCTTGCTGTATTTGCACCCCAGACTTTTCCTCACATTCTCTTGAGGTATTTGCATCCCAGTCTTTTCTTTGCCTTCTCTTGCTGTATTTGCACCCCAGACTTTTCCTCACATTCTCTTGAGGTATTTGCATCCCAGTCTTTTCCTCAGCCTCTCTTGCTGTATTTGCGTCCCAGTCTTTTCCTCAGCCTCTCTTGCTGTATTTGCGTCCCAGTCTTTTCCTCAGCCTCTCTTGCTGTATTTGCGTCCCAGTCTTTTCCTCAGCCTCTCTTGCTGTATTTGCATCCCAGTCTTTTTCTCATCCTCTCTTAATGTATTTGCTCCCCAATCTTTTCCTCATCCTCTCTTGCTGAATTTACTGCCCTCTCTCTTTTCCACACCCACTCTTGCAATATTTGCTGCCTTTTCTTTTCCTCCCTATCTCTCATTCTATTTGCTGCTCTGTCTTTTCCTTACTCACTATCATTATCTTTTCTATCTTGATATTCCCTTCCCTCCCTCCCTTATCATATCTATCTCTTGAGATATGCAGTGTTTAAATATGCAAGGCCTGACATGTTGTTATTGCTGAATTTTGATTTGAAATTTTTTCTGTATAATATTTAATCTATTCATCACTGAATTAAGTTCATTGACAATCTTTAAAATTAATATTAGTTGTGTCAAATTAATGTTTTTTTGTTTTTTTTTTAACAATCTTGGACTTTCATACCTGCAAAAAAAAATGTATCAAAAAATGTTTTTTTCCATAGTCACTGCTGTTATTTTAACTAATGAAAGTGAATTTATATATTTTCTTTGTTCTTGAGAATTGACAACAAAAATAATAAACACCATATATATATATATTATATTATTTCTTGAAATTGAAGACAAAACATCAGCTAATTGCTGATCGATTCAAACTTTATAAAATGGTAGATAATAAGGATTTCCTTGTAGTTGGTTCACATATTTTAATAATTTAGTAAATGTTTATAAATTTATGAATAAAAGATTGTGTCATTTTTAGAATGTTATAAATATAAAATTATTCTTGTAAATAAACAATCTAATAGTGTTTAATAATTTTGTTGTAAATTCTCAAGAACAAAAAATGTACAAATTCACTTTCATCATATATTTAGGTTTTATTACAATTCTAATCATCACTTTTTTAAAGCAATAAAATTTACAAAGGAGTAAAGGTAGTTAAAATAACAGTGGTGTCAAGGGAAAATCCATCCTTTTGACACTCTGTCTTTTTGTGGACATGAAAGTCCAAGATTGCAGCATTTTTTTTTTATCCATTGATAAGCTATGGACTTACTGTTGTAATTATCTACTTACATATCTATGTACATACATCTCATGACAGAAATAAAGTGAAAGGGACTTGTTAACTATTGTTTATTGTAACTGGAATAACCAGTTATCTCCTCCTCCTCCTCAACTTAATTGACTATTCCTTTCAGTAGTGGCAGCAGCAGGAGCATAGACTTTGCATCCCCTTCTGCAGAGGGTGGATTGGGCCATTAGATAGTATTTAAACTGCTGTGATTTCTTTCTTAACACTTTAGCTTCACTTGTTGTCTTCACATCAGTTGATTTTGAGAGATATTGTGAAAAGTAAGTGTTTCATTTTGTCCATGTTTGTTGTTATTGTTGAACTCTGCATAATTTGGGTCTTTGTTTGTAAATTCGTGTTTGTTGTTTTGTTTATATTTGTGAACAGTGTTGTGGGAATGTCAGCAATATGGCATGATCCCAACTCCACAAGTCAACACCAACTGCAGCAAGACCTGTGTGAGCAGCAGATAGACCCTCCACAACCCCACCACCACCACAAAAAAATGACCAAAATACTATGCTGGTCTGAAAGACCAATTTGAAAATTTCATTTGTGCAAATGAGCTGCTACCAGCACCATCACTTATGGAAGCAGTGAATAGAAGGACAATTTCCTTGTTAACAAAAGACCCCAAAACCAGAAGGTTAATAGGTATCAACAGGGATGTAATAGAGGAGGCTCTAAAAAGCCTCAATATTGGAGCAAAAATATTGGCCTAATGTAGCAATGAGATGTGGGATATTCCACTCCAGAGAGAGAATCCTGTTAAGTCATTGGCTGGCAGTATACTGATGACAAAGATGGTGAGGCTCCAGAAAGAATATATGGGAGCTAGAAAAGTGAAGGTGACCCTGTATAAAGCAGCAAGAAGCAATCAGCAACAAATTGAACACCAGTAGAAGCCTCAACTGGAACAGGGATGTCTGCAGGGGAGGAGCAGCAACAAAAGGACCATGAACCAAGATCAGCAACAAAGTCTAGAGGTGGTAATGGAGGAGATGCCTCTACCTCAGTCCTCTTCTTTAAAAAGAGGGAGAGAAGTAGGGGAAGGAAAAGATTGAAAAAGGACCAAAAAGGGAAAACAAGCTGGTTGAAGTAGGGCAGTGAAGGCCCTGGAAAAAAACAAGTACCACTCCATCCCTGCTTCCCTGACCACAAAAAAAAAACACTAAAAAGAACACCAAGGCTCTTCAAGGAGCCTTCCCCTTCTAAAATTCCACTGTTTCCCCCTCCAAACAACCCTCCTCAAAACACAGCTCCCTCCTCCCAATATACTGTGACACAATACCCCTCCTCCATGCACACCTCCCCTCAACCCCCAGTTCATCACCCCCTCACCAAAGCACATCCTATGAGAAAAATAGCGGAAAAATCCTACCAAATAGACAGGCAAGCCCTAGAGTGGGACCTTTCTTCCCAAAAAAGCCCTTTTAAGACCCCTGTTTAAAGTAGTGTCCATCAACAGGAAATCAGTGGAAGATACTAGGAATTTTCCCAATGCTCCAGGGGTAATCACCTGAATTAGAAATACAGGAAGAGGCCTAAATGTTTGGGATCACCTCTCTGGGGCAAAAGACTCCTTTCCGACCGTAAGAATGATTGAAATGTGTACACCAGAATTGAAAAAAATTAGAAAAATTTTGTGCTGAGAGGGTTCCTGTTATTCTCCATCCCACATTATACAGGGCCCTCAAATTAGCTTATCCCACAGATGTCATCGGTATTGTCCTGGACAGTTGCAACAGCGATGAGGACAGGGAGCCTAGGACAACCCATTGGGCTCCTTACTGCCACAGATTTCCATCCAGTCTGTGATTAGTGGAACCAAACTTGAAAAATGTTTTTCAAGGTAGCTAGTTTCAATGTGAGGGACTTGAGGGGTCAGAGTAATGCTTTTTTATATCATGAAGTGTTTTGTAAGTCTCCTGTGAATGTGTGGTATTGTGGTATATGCAGGATTGAGCGGTGAGGGATGCGTTCTTGTGGTAAATGGATAAATTATATTGGATGAATGGGTTGTGATTATGATTAACTTGGACTGGGATAGTTAGCAAAGACCAGCTTTACCCCACTTCCCTTTTGGACAAGGTGGCTATTTTGGGTTCAACACTTATATGAATACTTTATTTGATTAACCATGGCAGTTTTATACAATTGGCTATCTAAGTTCTACATTTTCTTGGTTTCAACTTAAAGTACTATGACCCTCATTTCTAACAAGTCATACTCATAAGATTCAAACTTAAGTTTATTGTATTGTTTGGTATATCATTGAGAATAATGTTTGTTTTTTGTAAAATCTGAAGTACAAATTGTTGTTTTCCCTTCTGTTTATATTTCCTGGTGTTCAAGATCCCAAATCTAAATGTTCTTGTATTCTTATGGAACTTCTTTCTTTTAATCATTCCACCCCAAATAAGGCAATAAAGCTACTAAGACACAAGGGGTTCAGTCAGTTAAGTACCATATGTGATACACACTTGGGCAGTTATGTGTCTTTTGATATATTATTGACTAGGCTGAAGATATTTTTTTCCCTGCAATTGGTTGCTATTTTTTTCTGTGGTAGACTCATTGCCAACTAAGGCTATAGGACCCCCATCTGTCCTGTTATTCAACCCACTATAGCAGGAAGGAGAAGAGATGGATTCATAGCTTTTCCAAGGGTACTTGTGCATAAGTGAAGATAACAAGCTCAACTGGATGTTGAATTCAGCTCTTCAATTATTCCATGCTAATATCTATTACACCAGGCATGTCAAACTCATTGCATATGGAGGGCTGCATCAGCCATATCTGCAGCCTCGAGAGCCACACCTGTTTACAGTCTTACATTAATCACAGCTAGTGGTAACTAAACTTTAAATACAAAATACCTACAATACAAGATAGTACAATTTAATCATTTTTATTTTGTCCTGATGATTGACATTGCTTTAAACAAACTATTCTCGATATATCAGGTTAGAATGTCTGTGTGGATCCCACTTTGATCAAAGATGACAAATGTTCATCAATTAATCTGGTTCTGTGAGATTTTTTTATGGCGTTCATAAATGAAAATAACTGCATTACACCACAACACACAAGGGGTTCTTATGGCCACATGATGTTGAAACACCAATTTCCATACAATCACCGAAGTTAAGCAATGTCAAGCCTGGTCAGTAACTAAATGGGTGATCACTTGGGAATACCAGGTGCTATAAGCTTGGAAGTACAGGTGGTATAAGGGATAATGACTTGATATTGTTAATCAGAAAGCCAAGTTCCAATTCTAGTTAGGTTCGTTATATTCACTTAGGTGCAGATACCCTTGGGAAAAGGTATGAATCTACCTCTTCTCTCCCCAGCTATGGGTTAATTATTAAGCACTAAACCATTATTATCTCAAAAATAAATTCTTACAACCTAAATATATTTTCTAGCTTTAACTAAGTTGCAATGGGTAGATAGAATATGAATGAATCAATCATGAGTGTGAAAGAACATGAAAAATTAAAACGTTATTAAAGAGAGAGAACAATAAAAGAACAGGAATTAAGAAGACAGAAAATAACGATTGACATTGCATTTAAAATTTTGAAGATCAAATTTTACTGGAAAGCAAAAAGTCAGAACCAAATTCTATAAAAAAGAAGTGCAAGAGAAGAAACTGTTAGCATAGAACTTACGGTTACATCTAGCTATTTCAACTGTAAATTGATAAGACCTTACTACCAACTTGTAACCTTAGTTAACAAATATTATTATTTATTATTATGACTGTAAGAATGAATGTGTATGTAGCACAAAAGTTATCAGCACTGAAAGAATCAGAGGACCAATTTCCAGTTCTTGCCTGGTCTGTTGCAATCAATTTCACATAAATGCTATTCAGAAAGGCATGATTCAGTCTTTTTTCCTCCAACTATGGATTAAATAGTGGTGTAGACTGGGCTCTCTAGCCTTGGGTGACAGCCAGTCTAAGAGAAGGACAACACTGAATTCAAAAACATGGAAAAATCAATGAGAGGGCTACTTCAATATCTTTCCCAAGAAGTCATGACAAAGGAATCTGTGGAGAGCTAAGATCACCTGTTTCTTGAAGGGTCATGGTAATTTAAAACAAAAATAAGTTGGCAACATTAGTAAACATGAATTAGATAATTTGGTGGCCAGAGTTCCAGCCATCCTTGAGTGACATAATATCAGACAGACAAAGAAGACATTTGGGGAATTCAAAGATGAAGAGGAGACATGAGGCAACAGAAATCTGGTTCTACAGAAGGATGTTGAGAATACCACGGATGGAACATGTGAGCAACAAGGAAGTCTTAAGGAAAATGGACACAAAAAGCACACTTATACTTAGAATCGGAAAAAGACAAATGAAATATTTGGGCACATAATGAGGAAAGAGAGCTTGGAGAATTTGATACTCAGAGGGCATACTGGAGGCAAGAGAGACAAAGAAAGAAAACAAGTAGCCTACCTAACAAACTAGTGTAAATGGATGGCATGACAGGGACTTGGAAGGATAGTAAGACGTGTCTGTTACCTAATGTATGCAACAACAAGGGTGATGAAAAAGTCCATATCGCAAATCCAGTTTCACAAATCAAAAGGCAAGAAATAGTATAGTCAAAAGTCAGAATCACAAGATCAAGAGACAAAAATAAAATAATGGTTAGAATAATCCAACTTACAGCAAACTCATTCTTGCTCACGAACGATAAAAATATACTTCTCCTCGTCAAGAAAAGCAACTGCTTTTACTGAGGAGGAAAATTTTGTGATTAGTCATGATAGTTGGGAGGATAAAAAGAAAAAATAATCATATATGAAGTATGCTTAAGGTAGTAATTATCTAGGATTATTTTTATTTTCTTTGGCAAATCGTGCACAGGACACACTCTTTTTTTGAATTAGGTGATTTTCCCATTTGCCACATAAGGGGATAAACAATGCTTAGTTACAAAGGATAGGAAGTTGCTGAGAGCCATGACTGCCCAAGTCCCGAAGAGACATGACACATAAAAGAAAAAGTAGTAGTAGTAGTAGTAAATAAGTACAAATATAAATGAGCAAACCAATTTTGGAGTTGCTAAATTAAGAGTTAAATTTTGTCAATATCAATTCATAAAGCCTACTAAAAGCTAATCAAATGATTAAAAACGGGATGTTTTTATTAGGAAAGTGATGAACTGTGGCATAATATCAATTCTCCTATATGACAGTGAATGCTGGACAATTTCGGAATAGTAACCAACCTAAGTAACTTGTATAAATGGATGGCAGGTCAGGGAGTGGGAAAGATAGTAAAAAAGCAAACATTGCTAAGAGTTACAAAAATCGTGGAGAGCTATGATTGCCTATATCCTGAAGGGACACATTATATAAAAGAAGAAATATGTATATTAAACCATCTAGAATAATAGTAATATTTATTCTTTCTTTTATCTGTTGAAAAATAACCAATTGAGAAGATCAGAATAACTATAATCTGTTTTTTTTGTTTTGTTTTTTTTTTGTTTTTGTTTTTTTGTTGTTTTTTTTTGTTTTTTTTTTATTGTGCATCCAGCTTTCTATCACTTTTATTTTAACTACTATTGTTAAGTCCTAGATTGGTATCTAAAAAAAAAAGTTTGCTTTGGCTTTAAATAAAATTTTATTTTTCCTTGTGTATGTAATATGTGTTAAGAGGATTTCTGGCTCTTATACAATAATTTAATAGAAAACTTAATATTTTAAAAAATTTTTCTAGTGTAAGGTCAAATTTTTCTTTTTCTATGTTGATTCCTTTTGAACTTTCTTATAATGGTCAGACTTAGTCTTTGTCATATCTTTTCTGCTGATCTGTTGGTGAGCAATGAAATATCATTCAGTTTTTCATATTCTTTGCCATTATATGTAAATAATATTTTTCCTTTTTCTACTGTGAAGTCAAATTTTTCTTTTTCTCTGATGATTCCTCTTGAGCTTTCTTATAATGGTCAGACTTAGTCTTTGTCATATCTTTTGTGCTGATCTGTTGGTGAACAATGAAATATCATTTGTTTTTTTATAATTTTTTTTCTCTGTATCTGGACTCTTGAAAATTTTCTTTCTGAATTTATGGGGTGAAGAGTTATTTTTATTTTCATTTGTTTTTATTGGGACTATTGTCTTTATCTTTTTTGTTGCTATCACAATGTTTCAGTCATTGTGTACCCCAGCCTTCATCGGAAAACTTGCTGATCCTAATAAACTTCAGTGAATTTTGAACTGAACACAATATTCTATCTTTCGGAATCTGGACTGCCCAGATTTTTGTCATTATCTGAGTGTCAGGCTCCCAAACATTTAACAACAACAGCAACAACACATCTTTTAAATGTAACATATAAAAGATTATTTCCTGGAGTAAACATAGAAACAGAATATCAATTGAAATAACATTTATATATTCCTTTCAATAATATAACAAAAAAATGTTCAATTTTCCTTGCAGTGAAATTTGTTTTATAAAATAATGAAGATTTGTTTTAATGCAGTTTGAAATGTGTGGATAGACTTACTTTATGATGGTCAGCCTAATGTGTTTGTGAGTTAGTAGAGAAGGGCTTAGCAGTCGCTGGTTATTCCCTTCTATTGTGTGCATGGACAAGGCCTTAGTTGGTGGCTGATGACTGTTGTCTCTTCCATTATGTGCATGTGTGTGTACACATGTGTAGATCAAATTGGCCTCAAATTTTTTTGAACCTCAAGAAGCAGTTGGCTTCTATTTTTATATCTATAAGGGGGGTCCAAAATCTAATTTCACATAGAGTTGTGACCTTTTTGAATACAAGATATTTATTAGTTAGAAAATAATTTTACACTAGCTCACAAAATCCTTTTCTTGAATTTGCAGGAGTAGTGAAAAAGAGTTTTTATTGTTATTCTCTAAATGGTCCCAAAATAACACATGGTAGGTCTACAACTATATCCACCAAGTATCTTGGCAGTATTTATTGTTTATCAAACAAAACTTTGTGATGGGATTTTATTGGTGGAAAAATATATATAGGATTTAATTCCTATATATCTACAGTGGCACATTTTTCTTATTCCTGCATATATGTCTACAGATATCATGTTCTTATCTGTTATCCTTAGCTGCAGTTGCTTCTTTTTGTCTTAGTCCAGTTTCTTCTTAGGAACACAGTTTTCATACAATAAGAAGTAGACTTGACACAGGAAGATATCATGATGACTCCTCTTACTACTTTGACACAGACTTTTACTCGGGCTGGCTACTTGTGAGTTTGATGTTTATTTATACATGATACACAGATGTAGGATTAAATGCAAGAATATGTATCAATATTTAATAGAAAAGGCTCAGCTCTATTATAAAGAGTATAAAATTTCTAATAATTTAATAACTATACATGCTTAAAAGCAGAAATTTTGTAGATTAATAAGATACTAACCATACCCATAGAAATTCCACTGAGTTTTTTTAACATTGTTTACTCCCCATCCAGATTGACGTCAGAAATAAATTACTTATGCATGCTTTGCAATTTTAATTACTCATATGAAAATACTTTTGACAGAGTGTTCTTAAACACCAGTTGGAGGAGGGGAGGGGATTGAAAGATAGATTTACTTGTCAAAAAATATTTTCAATAACAGCTTGCACTTCTAATTATCTATATATATTCAATAAAAATATGCTCATTTCATACGATACAGGCAAATGTTCTAATATTAGTCTGCAGGAAATGCTAATAAAATTTCAATTAGTCATGAATATGCATGTACAAAATTGTACATATAAATTATTTTTCAATACTATAGTTTAGTCAAACTCAACAAAAACATTCACAACTACAATTGTGCATCTTCATTATTAAATTAAATTAAATAAATTATATAAATTCAAAACTATAATTTAAAAAATAAACAAAAATCAATTACAATTAAATTTAAATATCGAATCAAGTAAAACCTTTAAAAAACAATTCTTCATGAAAAGTTTAATATTGATTTCAGTTCTCATCAGAATTGGAATTGATATGGTTTAATTAAACTTTAATTAAAATAAGGGTCATGGCAAATTGCTCAGAAATGGTTGCAAACATTTATACAGGGGATATTAATATATTTCGAACCAAGATTTATACAGAGGGTCACATCTTCAATATATTGGACAGCTAGAGTTTCTGAATACCCTTTCCTTTAAGATCCAACTTTATACAA